CCAATCCCATTCTCACCTTCAGACCCTTGGAATTCATACTAAGTTGTGGAGATGTGATACATAGCAAGCTTATAGCAATAACACACATTGTTTTGACCTAAGAAACAAAAAAAAAAGATAATTGAATCTGGATGAATTGGTTTGTTAAAGCAATGGGTACTTGTTCAGTCCAAGAAGGTTTAGTCGACGAAAGGCTTGTTTCCTTGACTGTCGATTTAACTTGGTACCATGAGGAATGGTGATTTGTGATTACTCTTGGACGAGAAAAAGGGAGAAAGAGATGGAAGGGGAAGGTTTCCAAGTCTGGACTAAAGCATGCAATGGATCAAGCTTTATGTTGAGAGAAAGAGAGATTAAAAATAAGTAGGTAGTTTCTTTTGTTTTGCTTGAGTTTTGCCTGTCCGAGGACGGGCTAAGTTTAAGTGTGGGGGGATTTGATGAGACTAAAAAGTACCATATTTTTATCCCCTAATATTCACTCTTTTACATTTATTTAGCACTTAAATGGACTCATTACTCTTGTATTTGGATTCAGGGAAAGAAAGAAGGCAATTGGAAGAAAACAGGGCAATTCGGATGATTTTGCACAGTTTCAGCAACAGTCAGTAATCTGGGCATAACTCTCAATTTTGGACTCCGAATTGGACAATTCAAGAGGCATCAGAAAGATGAAAGAAAGGCCCACAACTTTTATGTTTTGGATTTTGACAGATTCGGTTCGCATCGAATACGAAACCGGGCCTGAAGTCGGAGCAAGTTCGCAGCCATACTCATTTCACAGCTAAAGCCCAACTCGCAAAAGAACCTTGAAGCAGCCCAACTCGAATTCAAGAACCAAGAGTCCCAATTTCGAATGTAATCTCCAGAGAGAGAGTCTTATCAAATCTAAAGTCTTGAATGTAATCCTAGAGAGATAAGAAGATTGAAATCAGATCATTAGATAAGAGATAGGATAGGATTAGTTCAAAGCAGATCAGGACTCCCTGAATTTAGGATGATCTCCTAGAAGGAGTTGGAAAACAACCCTCTCCCTCAGCTATATAAAGAGGGGGCGGACCAGCTCTAGGTATCACTCAATCCAAGGATCCAAGAGATCATCAAGCAACTCAAGCTACCTAGAGAGCAGTTCGACCACTGAGAAGCAAAGCATGGAGAGTTCGAAGATCATGAGCAGCTAAGCTTTTCTTTTCTAGTTCAAGGGGGGAGGTTCGATTGTGCCATTGTGAGGTTCTGCATTTAATTTAAGATCTTGCTTTTTAATTCAAGTATTCATTGGTTATTGTGCATATTTTCATTGGATGTTAATATTAATTAGTTTGAAAATTTAATTAATGTTGATTTTCCTACTGTGTTATCCATAGTTCGGTGATCCGTAATTGTCACGAATAGTGGTACAAGTAGYAATTAGGTTAATATCTTTCTGGGTCAATTGTTCGTGACAGCCTTTGACCAATGTATTGACATGTTTTAACCTAAAGGGAATCGATGGAACAAGATTTGATAATTRCAACTATCTCAATTGTTGTTATCTTGGTTTAACTATTTTCACAAAGCTTAATGCTATCGCTAGTTAATATGGAACGCTATCGTACCCAGTTAAGTAGTGATAAGTGTTGATCGAATGCTGGGTTTGGTCAGCTGAATTAGAAAAACACAAGGTTTATTATGGCTATCCTAATAAACCTAAGGTTAAATGCTTGAATTGCAAGAYTATCAGAGTCTACCTATGATCGATGGTCAATTGACTAACCTGAACCCTTGAACCAGAATTCGGTAAGACTGATTTCTCTTGTTTGTTTAGTTTGTTATTACTCTCTTTTAAGTTCAGTTATTTAATTTTCCCACTCAGTGATAATATTCATTCGGCTGAGAGATTACTGTTAGCTCCTTGTGGGATTCAATCTAGTACCACTTTTACTACAAATATTTTATTGTGGGACTAGTACTAATTTTGAGGGCTTCGACAACCCGTCATTGGGAATGATAAACATTTATTCCCAACTTGAGGGGGAGTGTAGAGAACACTGATGTGGACCCCACAACTATGGTCCCACTGTGTTCGTAGGGTAGAATGTGTTACAGTCATCCTAGGGTTAGCTGGTGGTCAATCTATTATTTCAGTTGTTATTTATTTCAGTTTTATTGTATTCTATTTGTTATGTAAATACTAAGGGCAGATCTGTCATTTCCATGTAATTAGCATAACTTATAAATACTAAATAGAAGTGGCGGCGGCAGAACTTTAAGATTTTGTCATTCCTTTCAATCCTTGTGTTCTATTGCTCTATTTTCTTTCTCCTCTCTTCTCTATACTTTTTCTTCTATTTTCAAACCTGAAATCTATTAGGGTTCAAGGCTGATAGCAGTCTTGAACGTCTACTGGATTTAACATTTCAGAGAAGACACAGACATTACAAGAACTGATATCAGAGATGGTTAAGGTTGAAAAGGTACAGAAGATGCAAAAAGGAGAGAAAAAGGATTCCACCTTTCCAGAAATCAGAACTATGAAAACAGAAAGCTGTTATTTCTGTTGTAATATATACTGAAACCATGGATGGGCTGCATCCACAGTTTGTTCATGAACGAATCAGTGAAACAATGAACCCCAGTCCTCTGTATACCTTTAGATAATGCTTATGAAAAACCAATGAACATTCTTTTGAAGATGCTTTTAAATTTAGTGCTGTGACTGCAATTTACAGGTTTGTGTGTCAACAACAAATAGGAATTACCCTGGCCGAATGGGGCATAAAGAAGGTCAAATATATTTGGCTTCTCCATATACAGCTGCAGCATCTGCTTTGACTGGCTTCGTAACAGACCCAAGAGAGTTCTTGCAGTAATTGACTTAAGCCAATGACAATGTATGTTATGAATACTACTGCACTTGGTGTTGTAGGGGTTATAGGAGAGTTTTGGGTTAGTAATCCAACAGTTTTTTTTTTTTTCATTTTAGATTTTTTAAGTGAAGTCCCTAAATCTATATCAGAATAACTTGGTCCATGAACCATTCTCTCTGTATGGTGCCCTCTTGTTTTATGGAATTTGAATTCATCTAGTTTTGCGTCTGCCCCTATTAAGTATTAATCTTTGATTTTATGCATACTAATTAAAGGACTCTCAATTATTTCGTTGAGAATTACATTGATGCCAGTTATTGAAGCTTTATCTTAACTATTTTTAGTGTCACAGTAAAGGAAAAAAGAAACTGAGAGAAAACTGAACTTAATATTAGGGCTAGGGTACAAAAACAACGACGCTTCAGCTGTAATTTCCATGAACTCTTCGCCCCAGTTCCTCTCATCTCTATGACCTAACCAGCTTGAGGGTCATTTGAGTCTGATAGGGGTGGGCAACAGGTAAAAAACGTATCCTTTTTTTTATCGTATTTAATATTCATTTATAAAAACACATCATGGTTTCAAATTTCAGTCAAATACTAAAATCTTAACAAATTTTCGATTTCAAATGCAGACACAGCCACCAGAACAAATATCTAGAAGTATTTGGTAAATGTGTTTTTGCCGTATTTCAAGACTTTTCTGGAATTTTGTGATTTCAGCTATTTATTTTACCTAAAATTCCATTCCATATATAATATTGAAATAATAAAAAATAATATTACAGACATAAGAGGATATGGCATATGAACAAAAATAATTTAAGTTTTAACAACAATTTTTCAATATACTAAAATTTTAAAATATATTATTTCACATCACGCGTCCTAAATAGTTGAATTTTCGAAAGTTTAAGGCCCATTTGGGTGGGTTTAGCTGCTGAGATGAAGATTCAGCTAAGCTGGTTCAGGTGCTTTGAAGGACTCCAGATAAACTATTCAAAGAGGCTGAAGTGGACAGCCCTTCAAATGACCGACAGCTGTGAGAATGCCTATTTGGTAGGGGTGTCAATTGATCGGTTTTGCATTGGATCCAATTTGATCCAAATCTTATCAAATCGGATTTCAATGGTCCATTATAATTATTGGATAGGGCCAATACAAAATAAATTGGTTCATATTCTTATTGATCTGAATTGGACTTAAACCAAATTTCCAATAACTTGATCATGAGGACAAATCCTTGCCCAATTTGAAACGGATCAAAATTGAAGCTAGCATAAAATCACTTTTATGAAAGTACTTTTACGAAATCACTTTTACGAAGACACTTTTACAAAAGCACTTTAATAGAAGTAATTTTATGAAAAGTACTTTTATGAAAACACTTTTACAGAAGCAGATTTATAAAAACACTTTTATAAGAGTACTTTATTAAAAGCACTTTTACAAAAGTACTTTTACGAAAAACACTTATAAAAGTATGTTTACACGAAAGCACTTTTATGAAATCGCTTTTACAAAAACACATTTATAGAAGTACTTTTATAAAAGCACTTCTATGAAAGAACTTTCATGGAAGTACTAAAAGCATTTTTACGAAAGCACTTTTATAAAAGCACTTTTATGAAAGAACTTTTGCAAAAGCACACTTATGAAAGTACTTTTATAAAAGCACTTTTATGAAAGCACTTTTATGAAAGCATTTTTTACAAAAACACTTATAAAAGCACTTCTACGAAAGTACTTTTATAAAAGTACAAAAAAACTTATACGGAAACACTTTTATGAAAGTACTTTTATATAAGTATTTTTATGAAAGTACTTTTATCAAAGTACTTATATGAAAGTACTTTTACAAAAGTGTTTTTTCAATGCCAAAAGGGTATATTTTGTAATTTTCAGATTTTTTTTTCATTTTGTAATTTTTTTATATGTCCAATTTTTTTATATAATTTTTTATATTTCATTTGGTTTGGATTTGATCCAAACCAATCCATTTACATTTTAATGGATTGGATTGGATTGGATTTGATTGTATTGTATTAGATTTGGACTGGATTGGGTCTAGTCTATTTGTAAGTGGATTCACATTGGACTAGATCGGGTTGGACCAAACCTAATTGACACCTCTACCATTTGGAAGGGCTGAATCACAAGTAGCCTACGACTTTCCAAGGTGGGTTCTATATGAACAACCTTTAAGCTATATTTGGTGAAAAATTCCATAATAGCCCAAATCATCCATTAGTTAGCAGCTTATCCAGATTAGCTGAATGTTTAGCTCAACCCTCCCAAATGGGCACTTGGAATCATGATCAGCCAGACTAGTTAGGCTTTGTAACTATATTCAATGATATTAATTAGGAATGTAACTCGGCACTCGGGTTGGATTGAGTTAGCAATTTACTTGAGCCTTTGGGTTAGGCCCATTCAAATTTTAACAAAAAAACCTGCCTAAATTGTGCTCCTAATGATTATGCGTTAGACAGTGTATGCCCTTAGCTCCAATTAGAATGATGTACATAAACATTTATTTGTAAACGAATAAAGTACATCGTTGTTTTATGTTAATATTGGTGTGTTTCTGTGCATTACCCCTTAAACTAGACACTGAAGATACTCGTGCTAATTTAGAATGTTATCAGCCATTGGATAGACTTGAGGAGTTTATCCTGACAAGGCTGACACTAGTGTGCTGCCAAGGAGTTGGAGCAACTTGTCTCAACTGCCAGGGTTAGACCCCAAGCACAGCCAGTGGGTGTTTATTAGAAACACTGAACTCAGACCAATTTCCAGTTATGCCTTGGACCTTGGAGATAGATGGGAAAAACTGGAAAGTTACACATAACCCCAGACTTGACTATGGTACTACACTAGGTGTTGGACTAATCTGTCTTTTATATGCCAACCAATGAGATCTATTAAAGGTTAAATACCTGAGTATGTTGGGGCAGTCTAAGAATTCACTTAAGTGGGTGATTATAGCGATAGGATCGGCCCCTTTGTCGAACAATGTGAATGTTAGGGTTTACACTCTCTCTGATGGAAACCTAAACTATTGGCAGTGGATTTCATATGTGTTTAAAATCTGGTTTTACAAAATGTATTTATATGTTATATACTACTACTAGCGGGGACCCATGCGATGCACGAGATTTGTTTAGCGAAAGTTAAACAATAGAAACACATAAGAGTATACCATTATTTTATATTTTTTACTTTTTAAATAATTAATAATTATTTTATATTTTATATACTATTTTTAATAAATTTTTATAATACAAAATTAACAATAATTAATTTCAGCTATGGTTGTTCATCAAACTAATGAAACTAACCAACTTGACTCAAATTGGTTAGTTTTCTAGTATTTTTGGTTAACTTTGGTTCAACAATTTCCCAACCTAACCATGTTGGATTAGTTTCACTTTGGCTATTTGTAAATCGACCGAAATTGAACAACTTGACCATAGATATATATTAATATTTTATATTTTTCATATAATTTTTTAATACGGAAAGTAGAAAAATTCCCATATTTCTTAGTATAAAATATTTTACATCATAAAATATAACTCAAATTGACCGACCAAACTAAAAATCAATCGCAATTGATACAACCCGAATTGGCCAATTTTCACTAATGGTCAGTCGGTTTCAGGTGACCAACTACCCAACTTGACTAGGTCGGTTTGGTTGGCCAAACAGCCTATAACCGAGCCAAACCAACTCGTGAACACTCCTAATTTCAACTAAATTAACAGTTTAATCTCTAATAGATAACAATAGTTTAATATCTAGTAACTATTCAAAATTTATAGCAAAAATACTCAATTATTGAAAATATATTGATAATGAAAATATAATAAATAACTAATAAAAATAAAATAATTACAAAAATTATAAAAAATATTAAATATTAAAAATATAATAAATTAGTCAATAAATAGTTTAATCTCTAATAATTATTAATCAATAAATTATAAAAAATACAATAGGTACAATAAATTAAAATTAAAAAGTTAAATAGCAGTAGTTTAATCTCTAATAATTATTAAAAATTTTCTATTAAATAAAAAAAYAAAAATAAAATTATACATAATTATTGAAAATATATTTATCACAAAAAAAATAAATAATTATTGAAAATACAATAAATAATGATTTCAATATAGATAAGTATATAGTAAATATAGATTAAGATTTTAAAATTATTATTAATAAATATTAATTTTTTTGAAAGTTATTTTCTAGAATTATTAATTGATATAAGTGAAATTAGTTATTTACAAGATTATTTAATTATTTAAATAATGTMATTATTTAAATTTTAAAATATTAATTATTTATTGAATTTAGTAATACATAAAATTATAATTTAGACTATTGTTACATAATTTTGTAAAATATTAAATTATTATTAATTCGAATGTTATGTTATAATTACTTTTCTAACTTTAAGAAATTTATTAAATTTATTACATAATTTCGTTATTTTAACTATTTAAAATCTATTTATGTTAAATATTTAATTATTCAAAATACTGAGTTATTTAACTATTTTAAAAAAATTATTTTAATTTTATTTATTTTAAAGTTATTATATAATATGAAGTATTTTGTTATATAATTATTTAGATATTTTTAATACTTTGTTATTTAAGATATTTATTTATTGAAATATTTAGATAGTATTTTATTTTTTAATGCTAAATATTTGTTGTTTGAATAACAATTAAATTGAATAATCTAGAAAATCATAATTTGTATTGTTAGTACATAATTTTGTTATAAATTTTGTAAAAATATAAAATTATTAATAATATGAATATTATTAAATCTATTATAATTATTTTTGTGCTTTTAATAAATGTTTAAAGTTATTATATAATTTTGTTAGAATATTTAAATAATTTTGAAAATTTTAATTCAAACTTTCTTTAGATGGATATAGATAAAATGTTAAGAAGATAAATAGGGATTAGAGATAATTTATGATAG